AATAGCAAGCGATAAGTAAGTAAGATAAGATGAAGTGACAACCTTTCATAGAGGTATTATTCCGCCAATAAATAAGCAGAATTGCTTATGAAGAGGAAGTCATCATGTTCTATGCTACATACCCAACACACTACTAAAGTACACTATTACCCGCTTATATTTTTTTGTATAGGCAAGAGAGCTTACTTTCTATGGTGAAGATTTATCGGTTTCCAAGTCAGCGAAGTTCTTAGAAGTAATTCTGGATTCTAAACTTTCATTGAAGAAACATCTCGATGCCAAAGTGAATAGTACGGCTACAGCACTCTGAGCCAAAAGAAGAGCTTTCGGAGCCAAATGGGGTCTGTAGCCGAAAATTGTACATTAGATTTACCAATTCATGATAAAGCCTACACTGCGACCATACGTATGCGGCCATTCTGTAGTGGCCCCAGACTATACTTGCTTAAGCTCTAGCACTGTTGACTCATCTCCAACGATTAGCATGCGTTATTATCTCAAGACCCATGAGAACCACTCCCACAGCAGCTCGTAAGGCTGTACTGGAATTACTTCCTCTTCATCTTATCGTACAGCACGAAGCTCCCACGGCAGCCTACCGTTTCAACTACTCTTAATACTGGTTAAGAATAAATGGGCAGAAGAGTGATTGTGACATTTTGAGACAGGCCCTCGATTGTTGTCCTGTGCTCTCTATAGTACAGGACAGCATGGCCCCCAATTTGAGTTTTTATCTTCTTGATTTAATTTAACTAATCTTCTCACCATTCTTGGTTTAATTTCCTAACCAGGATGAGTGGATGGAATAAATGTTTACAATGATCCATCGAAGAGGGCTCACCTGCTTCACAGATGGGTCCAGAATGAACGAGCATGTAGGTGCTGGAGTATATGATAGCGGTCGCGGTTTTGAATCTGGCTAGGCTTTTAGCTCTTTCAGGTCATGCATTAGTCTTTCAGGCCGACATCTTTGTGATCCCGGTATGTTCTAAGGAGATAATAGATAGAGCTTACTCAGGCCAGATTATCTCTATCTGCTTTGACAGTGAAGCATTGCTAAGGACTTTATAAGCGCCCAAAGTCAGATCTAAGCTAGTTCTTGAGTTCAAGAGAGCACTTGATGATTTTTACTGACCAATAGGGTTAACTTAGTATGGGTACCGGGAGACACAGGCGTGAAAGGGAACGAACTGACTGACGTCCTGGAGAGACAGGGCTGGTCCACTCTGCCTGTGATACCTGAACCTGTGATTTGAGAACCCAAAGGGCTGCTTCTGCTGATATTCCAGGAATCCAAATTTTAAATGTTCCAGCATTCCAGTAAATAAAACAAAATACTAATGTAAAAAAGGTAAGTATTACCTACTTCTTAAAAAAATCATCAATTTTGTTTTTTTTTAAGTATTTTACACAATTTCTGACTCAACATTTTGAATTACATCATTTTTTTTACTTACTCTCTTAATTGTAGTAGTCTTCTTTTAGTCTTTTAATTTTAGGTAAGCATCATTTAAATTACTTACAGTGGTAGTAAGTTCTAGTTCATCATCACTCTGATTGTTGGATATATTGGACACCTGTTCGTCTTTTCGAAAATAACTAACACAACTAGCTAAGTTTACTTCAGGATTTTCCGTCAATAGGCCTGCATCAAACTCTAGGTAGTTCGAAAAATTTTCATCTCCATGACTTTCGCAAAATATTAACAATGTCATTTTATTTTCCAGGTGTTGTGGCCCCAGATTTTTCATAATTTTTTCTTCATTACTATCGTTTAAAAAAAACAATGAACCTAATGACACACTTTTCAATTGTTTTGGTTGCAACGTCTCTCCATGCTACCACAATGCAAATTAAGGCATTAGCAATCGTTATGGACTTCTCCATTTCACGTTGATAAAGAACATTATATAGATGATAACATTCTTCTCATCAAAAACTTTCTATACAGGGATTTAAAATTTTTAATTATTCCTTGGTATAACGGTTGACAATGTGATGTAGTATTATAATGCATAAATAGTATCGATACGTTAGATAATTGAATATCCGGTTGGGATGTTGCGTTGTCTAGGAATAAGAGAATTTTTCTTTTTTGACGTTGCATTTTTCTCTCAAACCTGTGCAGCCAATCTGTTATGATATATCTGGTCATCCAGGCCTTCTTGTTGTAGTATCAGTTGACTTGGAGTTTATCAACATGAAAATTTTTGAAACATCGAGGATTTTTTTTTACCAATCACCAAAGGTTTTTCTTTTTCCCCCATTTAAGTTTGCACACAATAATACGGTCAGCCTTTTTTAGCAGATGTACCACCGATGTCATTTCCCGAATTCCCACACTAAAATGGAACTGGGGCGGACACGTCGCTCGAATCAGTGATGAAAGGTGGACGAAGAGATTGCTTGAGTGAAGGCCGAGATTAGACAAAAGAAGTAGAGGAAGACTCCCTACACGATGGACTGACGATCTCAAGAACATGTCAAGAAACTGGATGAAAAGTGCTCAAGACAGAGCACAATGGACAAAATGAGGGAGGCCTATGTCCAGCAGTGGACGCAAAGGGCTGGATGATGATGATATACTACCAGTACACTTTTCATTACGAAATGTAAATGTTTTACTTCGTAAGGCTCGATAATACAGACCAGTCTCGTCAGGTTTATAAATATTTTCAGGTAAATAGCCACTTAATAGATTTCGCAGTTTTCTTTGCTAGGTAATCTAACATCGACAAGGTCAATTTCATGCTATGTCTTAAGCAATACTTGTTAAGCCAACCATCGGAGCTTTAAAACCTCAAATTGAGTTCTTTCGCCGCTTCTAAAGCTCTTTCATTTGTCATCGGACCAGGTAATAAAAATGTTCTTACTTCTCACTTTACAAAACCAATCGTACACTATAGTATCGATGGCAAGAGCTTCAGTTTTAAGCATAGATTAAATATATATAAGTGGTTTTAAGCCTCTTATTTTGTTGTAACATTTTCACTTTCACTATACCACTTTTTTAAATCGGCCTTTTTCTTTAAAAATTTTATAACTTGAGTTTTTTATATTTGAAAATTTTTGGCCAGAACTGGAAAAATATAATTATTTTTTTCAGATACTTTTATCACCAATATTTTTTCTTCCAAACTTAAAAACTTAATGAAGAAGGAATGAAGATAAATATTAATAAAACAAAAGTTGCAGACTATGCAGATAAACTAAAACATGCAGATATGAAAAATAAAAGACGAACTTAATATGGACATTGAAGGACCAAAATAGAACTAGTTCAAACTTTTACATACTTAATAATAGAAAATAGAAGCAGCAGGATATCTAAAATCAGAATTAAATAGCAAAATAGAGAAAACGGCATAACTCTATTATAAAATAAACAAAAAATATATATGCAGAGAAGAAATATCATGGAGTACAAAAACAAAAGATTTTAAAGCTGTTTTTGGACCTATTCTGACTTGTGGCAGCGAATCAGGTGTACTAACAAAACCGCAAAAGAGCAAGATACAGGCTATAGAGATGACGATCTTAAGAAGAGTTAAAGACGTTACAGAAATGGATAGAATCATGCATACATTGGAGTTTATAGGACAGTCAAATTGGTAAGGTCATTTATACCATACCAGTGAGAAGAGTATGGAAAGCAAAAATATTGAAAAACAAAAAAAACAAAGGCAGAATGGTACGTACTGTAGCCGACATAGTAGCAGCTGTGTTAATATTTGGTGAATGTGAAAATAATTTTTATGTAGCGGAACATCTTTTTAATGAGAGGTACCCCGATCGCCTTACATCAAGAGCTTATTTGAGGAAGCTTCTTCGGAAGTTTAAACAAACAGGTGGTGTTCAAGATGTCAAACGATCTGGTCGACCAACAATTAGTGATGACAAAAAAATTGACATAATTTCAGAAATGGTAGTGAAGCCTACTTCTTTCACAGCCCAAGTTGCATATATCTAGGGAATCAGTCAAAAAACAGTACACCGAGTGTTGGCTGAAAACAAATTTCATCCATACAAATTAAAAATTGTGCATCAACTTTCAGATGATGACCCCCACTTACGACTCGAATTCTGTGAGAATATGTCCAATAAAATTAACCAACAGCCTGATTAACTAAAAACGATTTGTTTTAGTGACGAAAGTACTTTTTCTCTCTATGTGACATATTGGAGTTTCAAAAATCCTCACATCTTTCGTAAAACACATACTCAGTTTCCAAAAAACAAATAAATGTTTGGGCAGGTATTTTGGGAAACCACATAGTTGGGTCTGTTTTTCTCAATACTAACTTAACCGGTGAAGTGTATCTGGACATGTTACAAGATGCAATTGAACCGTTAATACTTGAAATTCTGGAGGATAATTTTGAACGACTAAGGCAAGAGTTTAGAAATAGGATGTATAGCTTTTAGGAAGTAGATGGAGCACATTTTGAACACTATAAGAACTAGTTGTTAAATATTTATTAATTAAATGAGAAGCTACAATTTTAGTACTTATTTAATTTATTCATCAAAATGAGCTTAAACTCAAACAAACTTATTACGACTGAATAGGTATTTTCCATAATACTTTCCTTTCAAACGAGGTATCACTTGCCATAAGGTCCCATTTAAAATTATCGGCCACAGTGGCGATGTAACGCCATCTGTCACCTATTAAGTCACCTGTTATGACTAGTTGAGAAGCCTACGTTTGTTTGTATATTTATAGGTTTAAAATAGGATGTTGTCTTTCTCCTAACATGTTTAAAGTCTACCATAAAAAGCTATTATATGAAGATTATCCAATTTCACTGGGATACAGAATTCATAAACGAAGGGATCAGAAATATAACCAAAATCATAGTTGTATTAGAAGAAGAGGCAAAATAAACTAGCGTTTCACTGGGAACGTAGCAAGCCATAAATTCAATTTACCATGCAATTTAGGAAGTACCTACTTGGTTAATTAATAAAACACAAAATTGATTTTATTATTTATTTTTAGATAAAAATACATTTTGTTCTTAATACTAAGTTCACAATTGTTTAATAAATATTAAATAAATTTTCGCTTAAATAATAATATGAATACATATTCGTATTATTAATAAAATTATTTAAAACGATTTAAAATTTGAATGATCCATTAAAAAATACTATAAAATATCTCACTTCGTACTTTTTACATTCTTCCTGAATACATTCCACCAACATATCATTCTAAGGGCAACAAAATTACGTATTTAAATTTTAACAACGAATTGCTAACATTTAGATACCGTTTTAAAATTTATTTACATTTATTTGGAACACATATTAATGAATGGTACCTATATTAGGTATAGAACAAAAATTATTCGATTTTATTGTAATAAAATCGTAGTTAATTGTCGATACGATTAGTGGAATGATAACTTTATTTATAAATTAACTTTTTATTAAAAGCTAATGTTATTTTAATCCGAAAACTTTTTGTAGACAGAAATTTTATATTTGAACAACATTTTAATCAATTCCTTTACTTTTAATGTATTTATGTATTTGTATTTTTGAAAATATCTTACTATTAAATAGTGAAAAATAACTAACACTGACAAAATCTGGTAAAAACTAAGAGTTGAGCAATTTAAAACAAGTGCACCCTCCGTTATTTTATATAACTGCTGGAAAATTGAATCCTCGTTGGCTAAAAAAGCCACATTTTTTTCATTTGAGAATCTCATTTTATGTTCATGTATTTATTTCTCATTTGATTTTGAATTAGTTGTTCCTCTGTTGAATGTAGTTTGTTCCTCTAGTCAATATTGGAATATCTTGGCCATATAATGTGCAATGAACAACGATATGACCTACTTGGGACCATACTTCAAGGTAAAGTGCATGAGAAAAATGGTCCAGAAACATGGTTTAACTTAACCACTACCGGACTTTTCAGGGCAGCAGTCAACAAAGTCAGAATAGCCATGTAAGTGTTCAACATCCGTAAAGGATAGGCACCATAAGAAGAAGAAGCTACATATCCTATTCCCAGACATTCAGGAGCAACATAGCAATTTCATATTTTGTTCCACTCTATTTTATCCCATTATCATCTGATGGTAATTTTATGGCCTAATCATTTTTCTTTGTTTCATTCTATCGGGTGGTCAATCATCAAACGCAACCCGTTATTAACATTCTGCACTACGTGTGGCCTAGCTTTTACAAGAATATTTTGACAAATGTATTTGTCATTTGAATGTGTTCAAATTCGGAGAATAATTTTAACATTTATTTTAATACAAATTTCAGCCTTTTACAAATAGTATCTCATGGTGCCCAGTAACTTTTATAAATAAATAAAGTTTAAGTAAAAGGTTTAAAACAGTTTTTTGCACCTGCTGCCCGTAATTATTTTCTTTTGTCTTCAGAAAGATACTACTCTAAGTTCTCGATATGTTTGTAATCGTATATGTTTTGGAAAGGGAAAATAATGTTTACAAAATTTAGAAATATGAGAAATAAATAATGCCATACACACACACACACACACACATATATATATATATATATATATATATATATATATATATATATATATATATATATATATATATGTATATAATATACATGTATATATATATATATATATATATATATATATATATATATATATATAATATAATATTGCTAATCAGGTTTATTTAACCGGTATTTTGGGGATAAACTATAGTTATAAAATACTGTAACACCAGGAACGGTTCGTCTAACGAACAAAAACAGTAAAATACACACATTTTAATTGAAAATAGATAAAAAAAATAAACAAACTACTTTATATACCATTACCTATTTTAATTATGTTTGTTCTCTGTTTATATTTAGTAAAAAATACTGCATGCTAAATTTATCTTTACGTATACTTTATTTCACATTCTTAGACGCAATTACCCAATCTATCCCACAAAATATCGGATACAAATTCCCAATAATTGACAAACTAAGGTTAGTTAGGCTCCGCCCACTCGGGGAATGTGTCAAAGTCCCAAATGAGCTTGCCATAGAACGGGAAGATAGTAAAAAGTACGAGCAGGGAAATTATCGTCATTCCAATGCCAACTTTGGACATCTCACTGGAAGGCATGTTACAGGGAGCCTTGGCGATGGCATTTGGTGGTGTTGATACTGGAAGACAGTACGAAAATGAGCAGCATAGAGCAGCTGGCATCATGAGATACATCGGGTGAATTTTAGCATCCTGCAATAAAATTTTTTTTAATTATATTATGATAAGGTATATAATAAAATCTAATTTAATATTTGTCAACTAAGGTCTAACCAGCACAATGACTCATGAGAGATTTTAAGTATGCAGGAAAAACAATGTTTTCTTTTAAAACCTTCTACTGCTTAAAAATATTATCAATTGTTAAAGTATTGCTATTTGTGATATTTCTTAATAAATATTTATAACATTTTTTTTTAGACAAACAACAAATTATTAATGAGAAAAATTACGGATCATGAAAGATCAAATGAATAATAAGACTATTCGAAAGTTACAGTATCTGAATAACATGTGTTAACCCAAAACTAAGGAAGAAGTCATGATAGGTGACACTTGGTCTATGTCTTTCAAATATATTGTTTATTATTATAGTGATAACCGATTGCAATAAATAAAGGAAGTTGACAAAAAGATTTGTCAAGTAAGAAAGTGTAGACTTAAAGGAGACAAAAATATTATTTTTGTATAAGCAAACAGGTCATATCAAATAAAACTAAATATATGGGAATATAATTCATATTGACATAAGGTATAACCCCCTACTTACCACAGACATCTCTGCTAACACTGGAAGAAGAACATTGGCACAAGCTACGTTGCTAGAGAACTGCGTTAGCATAGCTCCCATACAACCGGAAATTAACATTACATAATACTTATTTAACGAGGTGAACCCTCTCAAGTGTTGGGCGATCATATGACTCATTCCACTAGCTTTGGAACCTTCGGCCATTGCGAAACCACCTCCGAGAAGAAACAGTAGTCCCCACGGCATTTTTTGTTGGACGATCTTCCACGAGATCAGAGCCGTTGAAGCAACTTTTGGCCTTATCTGATCATTACCACTGAAAATGTATATAAAATCAGGTTTCGAGGGAACGACGAACATGATCATTACTACTATCAAAGCTGCAGTTGCATCTTTCACCTAAAAACAGAGAAAACATTTTAACAAAAACAAGTTTGACGTTTACGATTTAAGTTAGATAATAAAGACCTTAAATGGCGAATGGATTTAGTGTCCGCAGTCATTTAAACACAAACAAAACAAAGACCTTAAAAAATGTTATATGTAAACTTGAGATGATTACGACGAAAATAAATAAAAAATTATTGAGCATGTTTCCCTAAAAGATTGTCTTTTCCAGGTTCTATAGATTATAATTATTTCGAAAAATAATATGTTGAGGTAGAAAGTCTACAATGATGTGATTCTTAACCTTTCAGTGTTATCATCTCTTCTCTTAGACCGACAAAGATTAAATTTCGCCCAATTTCGAGCCTAAAACTTACTACCTTTCGGCGTTTCTACTCGTACTGTGACCAGTGTTAGCAATTCTGGAGAGTGGGATTATTATATTAGGGCCGTAAAATTATAGTAAATTTGACAAAATTATGGTAGATGAAAAAATTGAGTTTTAACTGATTCACAAGTAATATAAACACAGACTATGAAGTATATAGTTCACAATCAAGTTTATACAGGGTATTTCAAAAAGGTATGTCATAAATTAAATCACGCATTCTGGGGACAAACATAAATTAATTGAATCCCGGACTTGTTATCAACAATATTTTGTTAAGCAGCTATTACCCTTGTACTTGTTCCAGGGACTTCTTCAATGATTCCGAAAATGTTTTCATGAGTTGCGTCCATTATTGGACAACCACTATTGCCAGCAACTTGAGGTTGGAATGTACGCGTTTCCCGTAAACGACGATCAATGGTCAGAAATAATCGTCTATCGGGTGTATTTTTATTGGGGTATTTTACTGCATAACGCCTTGCGGAGTTAACTTACCTAAGTTAAATGCACATCTGCCATTTCCTGAAATGTGTAGACCATTGTAATATCAAAATTTTTATATTAATCTTATTCACACAATAAATGATAGCTTCAAATTATTGACTATTATTGATGGAACTGTTTGTAATTATTGTATCCGAAGAAACTAATGCATAATTGTAATTTTTTGGCCAACTAGGAAAAACTAGGTTTTCGAAAAAGTGATAAGAGGCAAAAAATTTTTAAAAATAATGTGTTAAACTAATGATGCCATAAAATTAATTTGATTTGAATGTACTCAAAAGTTTGGGCTGCACCCCCCCTTAAAATTTTTCTGTGCGCTTAGATTTCATTGTTACTTTTGTATGAATAATGCTTTTAGAACAAGAAAGTAACGTGTCCATTTTTATTTAGTTTAGGAGATAATGAAGACAATATGATAAATAATAGGAGACAATTTTTATTTTGTAACTTCAAAAGGCTGTAATTTTTTTGTGTATACTTTTGTACCAAGGTAAGTTGCATTCAATCAATTTATTTTTGTACCCGGAATGCGTGATTTAATTTATGACATACCTTTTTTTGAAACACCCAGTATATATTGAACACGCAGAGGTCTAGACGCTCTATTTAGACCCAATTTTCGAAGTACCTACTAGTGAGAAATTTTACGCTTGAAAGATGTACTACAAAAAATTCTCGAGAATTGTGCCTTTAACCTGAAAAAAGGCAATCACGAAGACTATAAAGGGTAGTCTGTAAAGTCAATGTGGAATACTACAGCAAAAATGGTACAAGAAAAATATTTTACGAAGTACGGCACAAAAATCGACCCTTTCACATACAGATTGAACGAATTTAAAACGGATCATACAATTTAATATATGTCTGTTTGAACTGCATTTGAAATAGTGGACCAATATAAAACTTGGACAAAAATAAATCCATACCTGTGTTTAGACATTGTATAAAATATCGTTCAACTATCTGTTTCGCACCAATGTTGTTTGCGTAACAATGTTGCCAATCGCCGTGTAATAATCCGATTTGCGGATCTTTTTGAGAGTTATATCTTCTTCGTATCTTTAAATAAATCGGATATTTGCCTATATTTTTCATTGTATTTACCAATCTACTACAACAGACTAATAACAAACATACACTTAATGGTTTGTAGTTATTTTCTTTTTTTCTTGTAAATATTTTATGGATAACACCTTATTTGAGAAACATTTAAAGGAATGACGTTGGCAACACCGCTCACAGAAGGGCTTATCTAAAGAAGCGATAAGAAAAATTGAGCCGAAATACATAATATTTCGTATGTTCCGAATTTATTTTGTTCAATCTGTATATATATATATATATATATATATATATAATATATATATATATATATATATATATATATATATCTTTCAAATGTGCAAGAAGCGGAGGCAGTTTCCAAGAGTTCAAGACCAAAACCCCCGATGGAGTACAAAAGAAGTTTTTTACCTTTTCTCATTTGAACTTTCTTGGAGAGGCTATGAGGCTGTAAACTGCAAGATTCACTTGTTTCAGAAGGAATTTGATGTTATGGGAGAATTTACGGGTCAAATTTAATACAAGAGCATTTTTTTCCAAAACAAATCAAGACGGTTCAAAAAGTTTGGCAAGCAGCAAATGGCTGGTAAGAAATTCATCAAACGAAAATGTATGTCCAGTTAGTATTTTTTAGCGGATAGCGGATATCACGGCACGATCTAAACAACCGGTCAGTATAGAAAACAAATGGAACTGTATTAAAAAAGTTATCGTAACCATCACAAAGTCTTTGATCGCTTCTCAAAAATACAAAAAGAAAAATTGGATGACTGACGAAATATTATTAATAATGGACGACCGCAGATCATTTAAAAACAAAGACCGAACCAAACATCATCAGATTAACCGACAAATACCAAAAGAGTGTCGCAAAGCTAGAGAACAGTGGCTGCTAGACAGGTGTGCAGACATTGAGTAATTGGAAGAAAAACATGACCCCTTTAACATACATAGGCTCGTTAAAGAAGTGACAGGTCATACAAAACCTTACAGTTTTAACAGTATTGTGAAGGACAATAATTAATTACTGATCCCAAGGATCTACTTCAACATTGGAGAACCTACACACATCAACTTTACTCAGACAACACTAGAAGAAACTCTGAAAGTGAATATAAAAGTGAACCCTCCCCCAAAATATTGAAGTCAGAAGTTATAAGGGCAATCAAACAGAACAAATGGGGAAAACAGGCACCAGGCCCAGACGACATATACATAGAGGTTCTGTTAAGACAATATAGACGCCTTGGTAGATCTTTTTAATGACATTTATGGATCTGGCTAAATACCACAGGATTGGCTTCAATCAACCTTTATACCAATTACAAAAAAAGCCAAACGCTAATAGTTGCGACCAATTCCGAATGATCAGTTTATTGAGCCAGGTATTAAAACTCTTCTTAAAAATAATTCCCACAAGAATATACAACAGATGTGAAAGAGACATTAGCCTCACACAGTTCGGTTTCAGACAAGGATTTGGCACAAGAGAAGCACTTTATAGCTTAACTGTCCTACTTCAGAAATGCAGGGATCAGCAAAAAGATGTCTTTCTATGCTTTATAGATTACCAGAAAGCGTTCGATTATGTTAATCATTCAGAATTAGAAAGATTGCTCCAGGAACGTTCGATCAATGAGAATGACCTTAAAATCATAAAAAACTGTGGGAGTAGGAGTGGAATCTACATCATATTTCTCAATCGAAAAAGGTGTACGACAGGGTTATGTTCTGTTACCCTCCCTTTTTAATCTTTACTCTGAAACGATTTTCGATAGAGCCTTAAGTGACACTGAAGATGGAATCAAAATCAATTACCAATCTTCTACAACAGACTAATAACAAACATAAACTTATTGGTTTGTAGTTATTTTTCAATTTTTTCTTGTAATTATTTTATGGATAACACCTTATTTGAGAAACTTTTAAAGAATGTCGTTGGCAACTCCGCTCACGTAGGGCTTATCTAAAGATGCGATAAGAAAATTGTGCCGGAAAATACATAATATTTCGTATGTTCCGTATTTTATTTTGTTACAATCTCTTAGTATATTTATATATAATAATTTATTATTATATATATATTTATATATATATATATTATATATATATCTTTCAAATGTGCCAAGAAAGCGGAGGGCAGTTTCAAGGAGATCAAGACACAAAACCCGTGGAGTACAAAAGAAGTTTTTTTACCTTTTAATCATTTGAACTTTATTGGAGAGGCTATGAGGCTGTTAAACTGCAAGTTTCACCTTGTTTCAGAAGGAATTTGATGTTTATGGGAGGAATTTACGGCGTCAAAATTTAATCAACAGAGGCATTCTTTACCAAAACAAATCACAGAACCTCGGTTCTAAAAGTTTGGCAAGCAGCTAAATGGGCTGGTAAGAAAATTCATTCAAACGAAATATGTATGTACCAGTTAGTTATTTTTTAGCGGATAGCGGATATCACGGCACGATCTAAACAACCGGTCAGCTATAGAAAACAAATGGGAACTGTATTAAAAAAGTGGGGGGGGCGGGGATATTCGTAACCATACACAAGTCTTTGATCGCCTTCTCCAAAAATCTACAAAAGAAAAATGGGATGACCTGACGAAATATTATTAATAATGGGACGACACGCCAGATCATTTAAAAACAAAGACCAGATACCAAACATCAATCAGATTAACCGACAACATTCACCTAAAAGAGTGTCGCAAAGCTAGAGAAACAGTGGCCTGCTATGATCAGGTAGTGCAGACATTGGAGTAATTGGAAGAAAAACTCATGGACCCATTTGGACATACATAGGCTCGTTAAAGAAGTGACAAGGGTCATACCAAAACCTTACAGGTTTTTAAACAGTATTGTGTAGGACAATAAATTAATTACTGATCCCAAGGATCTACTTCAACATTTGGAGATCAACTACCACACAATCAACTTTACTCAGATCATAACCACTAGAAGAAACTCTGCTGGAAAGTGAATATAAAAGTGAACCCTACCCCAAAATTATTGAAAGTCAGACAGTTATAAGGGGCACAATACAACAGAACAAATGG